CGAGGTAAATCTGCTAACACTTGGATACAATGAATGAAGCAAACCTCGAAACATGTAGCGCGGTAACAGCCATAGGTTAATTTTTAGATTGATAATAAGAGCAATCTTTTCTCTCTCCCTCTTTCCTTCTTGTACTTAAATGAAAAATAAACTAACTCTTTGAAATCAAACTAAATTTTGATGCTAGTTGGAACACGTTACATCTTACTCCGCCTACCTTCCTTCCTTCAATGATATAGCACACACACAACGTTCGGAATTTAATTCTTGTTCATTTAAGAAAATAGTCACCTTTCGATGTTTTTTCGAAGACGTATTTTATTTCAGAAAGAAATAAAGAACTTTAAAATTTCATAGAATTAATAGTTGCAAAGTATATGAACTCGTATGTTGTGACTTCATATACATAATTTTAATCCTCAGATTACCGGCTTTGGATCCATAGATGTAATTAGTGAAATTAATTGCAATATTGATGGTGTTTTTGTTACCTATTGGACTTGTTTGATTTATATGTTATTAAGAATTCCATTATCAACAAATCATGGATCCTCAAGCTATTTGGTGCATAAATAGTTCACAAAATATATTTGAAAATCCGATAATGCTTGGGGTTCTATTATTTTTAGATTTTTTCCTTTGAAATAGGTTTTCTTGTTTAATTTTCTGGACATGAGTTTTAGGGCTCCAAAATGACAAACAGATCAGGGTTTTAGTGATCTTTAATTATTATATAACACTGTACACACACACGTTGGCCAAAGTCTTGATGACCTTTGATTGAGATATAATGCTGTTTACGTTTCGTTAAAAGCCTTTTTGACTTTAAGTGAGGTATAAAGCTGAACACACATCGGTCATGGTCTTGATAGGTGACCTTTAAGTAAAATATAATGCTACACAACTGCACTTTAAGAAATTTCTCATGTTTTCAGTAATCTGAATATCAAAAGCAAAATATTTTTTAGTAATGTGACGTTTGGCTAAGGTTGTACTTTGAATGTCTGTGACACTGATAAAGGTAATGGAAGCGTAACATTCATAAAACGCGATGTCTGATTTAAAAGCTTTCAAGCACCTGTAAACAACAATTAAAATGACTAATGTGTACGTTAGGTTGGACGTTGCTCAATGATTAGTGTACTTGGACTTTAAATTGGAAGGTTCGGGATTAGTGGCCTAGTTCTACGCGTAAAAATCCCCCCTCCCCTCTTAGTAGCACAGCGGTATGTCTGCGGACTTATACAGCTAGAAGCCAGGTTTCTATGCCCGTGGTGGGCAGAGTACAAATAGCCCATCGTGTAGCTTTGTGCTTTATTATAAACAAACAAACAATAAACGAACTTTCGTATTGTTTTTTATAGTTATTCTATAATAATTTTGGAAAGCCACTTAAAGTCAATAAATAGCCTCTTAAGTATGATTAAAAACAAAGAATACCAACCTTCTGTAAAGAGACTAACAAGATACATATGTATACTAAAATAATTATATCGGTCCTGATTGTCAACTTATTGTCATAACGGATAATGTAAGCTTTATATATATATATACATATTCTATACCATTTTGCATGGTTGCATGCATATTTAGCTTGTAGAAAACTTAACAGTATAAGCCAAAATATATAACTTCTCTGAATGATCAAGATAATGCAATAAAACGACCAAATCACGTAGTTAAAGCTGCTAATCATTACAATAAAACTGTGTGTGCCTAGAGAAACACGCTTGAGCGGGTGCTTATAATTATGGCATAATTTATATAGGTCGGCTGTTCGTGGAATTCTACGCTAAAGAAATGTCCTTCTTAGATTACTTAGTATTTAATTCGCCCTGAGCGATGAAAACGTGAAGCAATTATAGGAAATTAACCACAATTAAACGAATGTTCCACGGAAAATTACTACCGTCTAATTATGAGAAACTGTTCAACAAGCTTCTAGGGTTTGTGACAGTGCGTTTCGTTTCACATAAAGTTACATAACCGTTAAGGCATATTTTCCAAAATAAAATATACTAAATGTATAGTTACGATTATGATAATTTAATAATATTAAAAAAATTCTGAACATCATATTTTAATACTATATTATTTTTTTATTGTTTGTTGGTAGTTAAGCAGAAAATTACACGAAGGGCTATTTGTGCTCTGCCTACCATCAGTTTCGAAACCCATTTTTTTTTCCTAAATACATATATTTAGCTAACAGTGCAAAATAATCTTTATAATAATAATAATAGATAATAAATCAAAATAAAAAATAATGATTTCATATACTAACTAGTGTAGTCAATACTGGTAATTAAAGTAACCTAACCTAAGTCTCCTAAACAGACCGAATCTCGTGAAATATTATTGGGATTAAGGCTGAAAATATCGTTAACAGCAAGTGTATCCAACTGATCAAATAATGCATTTAGTCTTTATAAGTAGAAAAATAAGATTATTATACTTATTAGTTATGCTGATGTCCAGGTTGGTTTTGAGGTTGGCTCTAAGTATATAGCTTACTATGATGGAAGGTTATTAGTATCTTTTTATCTACCTGTATAAGAGCAGTACGAAACAGGTGTTAACAGTGGATTTTGTGACTGATTTTCTTTGCGTATTTGTGAGTGATACAGCATAATCAGTTCGAGATCAGCAGGTTGATGTAACTTGTGAGGAAGGATCCTTGAGTTTTTTTAGTCCTCAGTGTTCTGTCACTGAATTGGTGGTAGGGACGTTAGAACAGGTGTGTGTTAAGAGCTTGGTCCAAGAAAGTTGGTTGTCCTTTAAAACAAGTTTAACCAAGCGTGAATTTTCAACTTGTTAAATGTCGTGATACCGATGTGCACACAGTAAAACACTCACTTAGAAATACATAGTTGTTTTAATCGTTCTTAAATAAGATTGCCTGTTTTGTGTCTGTTATGTGTTGTGTTTCTTTGTTATGTATTGTTTCTGTTTGTTACTTGTTGTGTTTCTTTGGTATGTGTTATGCCTGTTTGTTACTTATTGCGTTTCTTTGTTATGTGTTATGTCTGTTTGTTACTTATTGTGTTTCTTTGTTATGTATTGTGTCTGTTTGTTACTTGTTGTGTTTCTTTGTTATGTGTTATGTCTGTTTGTTACTTATTGTGTTTCTTTGTTATGTATTGTGTCTGTTTGTTACTTGTTGTGTTTCTTTGTTATGTGTTATGCCTGTTTGTTACTTATTGCGTTTCTTTGTTATGTGTTATGTCTGTTTGTTACTTATTGTGTTTCTTTGTTAGGTGTTGTCTTTATTGTGTGATGAGTCTTTGTATGAAACATTTTACTTTGGTTGTGTCTTTCTACTTTGAATACTATTGCATAAAAGTATTTTTAAACTAACACAGACTTGATCCAGTTACTTTGTCAAATAAAACTTCGTACAACTATTTATGAAAATGTTGACATGTTCCACAAAATAAAATATATCATTTTGGCATCAGAGAAAACTGGTAAAAATTCGCTTGATCAGTAAGCTCTTAAGACTGTAACGTTAAGCATGGCAATTATACACCAACCAAACAAGGGTTTACAGACTACTTATTAGCCGCGGCATAGCGGCTCATAGAACGGCTCTGAGGTTTTTTGTTTTGTGTTTTTCACAAGTACAACTTTTTTTAGCTTATAGCTCTGTCATCTCTTTATCGATTTGAGATCTAAGTACAGTTTTGGACTCAGGAGGTCAAACCCTTTCGAATGATATATTTGACCA